TCAACTTAACTTTAAGTTGAGATTTACACTTCGCTAAGATTTACACTTCGATTTACAGATTTAAGCTAAGATTTACACTTCGTAAACACCTTTTGACCCCATCAAACTGCACGTAAGCTCACCGCAAGCTGACCCGTCGAAGTGACCGCACGTGTGTCGGTCGTGTGATAATATATATCCGTTAGCAGGGATTCGACAGTTTCGCTGTCGTCACGACCCGAATACCGCGCCCAATTTTTTTTTCCTTTGAATTCTCGACGGCCATGTATCTCAGGTGCTCAACTCGTTGAGGCCCCGATCGATTCGTCAACGTGTTGCCGTAGTAAAAAAAAAAAAAACCAAATAAAACATGCCGGCGCCGGGTGTATCGATCCAGTATCGACTGTCGCCAAAGAACCGGGACGAGACGGTTGGCGACTAAAACCAGGGCAACGTTCCTTCGTATACATATACCGCGGTTTGACCCGACAGCGCGGACACCTTTCGCGCCATTTGGCCGTCGGGGGCGGAATTCCCGGATGTTTGATTATTTTGCTCTTCTCGTATGGGCGTCGACCGTCGCCGATACTCGGAATAGAGCCAAATAGCGTGCTATATCGAGCGTGAAACGTTCGCTTGCGCTAGGCGACGTGCTTACGGTTTTCGGTCAGTGAGTCGCGAGATTTGGCGCCCGCGGTTTTTTTTTTTTTTTTCCTCCTTTCGCGAAATATATGCACAGTTCTCGTGTAGAGGGTTATTCTAAATCCGGGGGTCACCGGCAAGAACCACGCGGCAATTTCCCATTCCGTCCTCATTGAAATTCGACCGCCGTTGGCGAGATTCAGATCCGCGCATCGCTTGTATGGTGTCGAGAAAGAGAACGAGTGAACGCAGGCATTTATTACCAGTTCTTTAGGAAAAGGTGAGCCCGCCAGCTGAATTTTACGAATAACTAAGGTAAACGTGGCCAATTACCCGAGAGAACGTCGATTTATAAGTCGCACAAACAACATAGCACACGCAACCCAGCGTCGCCGGCGTTCGTCTCACCACGGGGAGGTCTGCCGATCGAGCCGACCAGCGGACCTCCCGCGAGAGACGACCATCGAATACCTCACCGAGCACCCAAAACAGAGTGATGGCTGTTCCTTGTTCGCCCGCGTAATCTCACGCCACCAGGGCGGCGCCACTGCGGGTATAGCGCCACATAGAGTTTCCCAAAATTAACTAGAGGGGACTCTGGCGCTGCGATCGTTTAGCGACCATGGGAATGATGGGTAGTACACACATTTGCCTAGTCTTCGTACTTGCGGGCGGCGAATCGTACTTGCGGCTTTGTTTATTGCTGTGTTTCGGTTTTGTTTTGAAAGAAAGAACGAATCCTTTTGAACTTCGCGACTTGATTCGAAATAGTAAGCTTAAAAGAATAAGTTTTTGAAGCACAAGCGGTGAACATTTGCTTATTTATGTTTTCGTGAAAGAACAGCTCCAAGCCACACGAACACACACGGAGCCAGAAGCAGGCCAGAAGTACGAAGATTGGACAAATGTGTGTACTACCCATCATTCCCATGCTCGCTGAGGCGGCGTGTGTTGCAACTCCCATAGACACTAGCGCCAGAGTTCCCTTTAGTAAGTGTTGTGGGAAACTCTATGTAACGCTATCCCGTGTGCACTAATGATAATGATGATGATGACTGGCCGCGTGAGGCGAAAACGACTCTGCGGGGATTGCGAGCACCGTATACACATCCTGCTTGGTAGCGCGACGTTATGCGTAACGGCCGCGCCAACATGGCGAGCAAAGAAACAAAACGGAAATACACGCATATACGACGAAACGCGCACGCAAAGTCGACATATATAGTTTACGGAGTCACGCCGAGTCCAGAATGAATGTTACGAATTAACCCCTTGCGTCAGCACGCGATAAGTCCGGGGCATCTCTTCCAGGGGCCAGTTAACCTTTGCTGCAGTGAATGAACGACTATAAACGTGTTGCCGACAGTATCGGTCAATGGCCTTCACTCTGCCGACGGCGGGTAATTACTTAGACTAATGACGGATTGCGTAATTAGCCGAGCGCGGTCATGCGTGTATTAGTACCCGTGGCTTGCATGGTGCTATAATTTCGCCAGAGAGGTTGGTTGCGATATTTCGCACGTTTCGCGGCTGTGTTAATCATTCAAACAGCTGTATCGACGTCACGCACGCAACGCCGTTGTTTTTTTTTTTTTTTGGGGGGGGGGGGTTGCATCACTATGTTTCTGGCTGTTTTTGTTTCAGCCAACAGTCTATACCTACGTGAGTCCACTTAGTCCAGTCTGTAGTATAACCAACCTATCTGCTATTTCCATTGAAAAAGCATTACCGCCATACGCTATTCGATTACCTTCGCTGAAATTGTATAGGTTGCCGCGTGCTGTATATGACGTAACACTTTTCATTTTGCTTCCTCGCCCCCGTCTCCCTCCGTGTGTGCCTTTGCAAAGACGCTACCCGCGCTATGTATCGACCACTCGTTACGATGTGGGATACAGCACGGGAGTTACAAAATGTGTGGAAAACAAGCATTTGGAAAGCGGCACATGCACCCGCCGTGCACCGTGGGGCTCATGACTGCTGAGTCCAAGGTCGCGGGATCGAATCCCGGCCACTTCGACCGCATTTCGATGGAGGCTATCGACCTGAGTACTTATATTTAGGTGCGCATGGTTCATCATGGGCGCCGTGCACTCTCAAGAGGGCGCTCGCTTATCGGCTCATGTGTCGCCACCATCGGCCGATTGGACTGCGAGGAAAGGCGTCAAGAGATTAAGAAAGGCCCCGCCGCGGTGGTCTAGTGACTAAGGTACTCGGATGCTAACCCGCAGGTCGCGGGATCGAATCACGGCTGCATTTTTGATGGAGGTGAAAATGCTGTATAGGCCCGAGTGTTCAGATTTGGGGGCACTTTGAAGAACCCCAGGTGGTCGATAATTCCGGAGCCCTCCACTACGGCGTCTCTCATAATCATGTGGTGCTTTTGGGACGTTCAACCCCACATATCAATCAATCAATCAATTAGGGATTAAGACGCGCTCGAAAATGCGTTTTGTGGTTCATCGCGCATCGCACGAAAGGCGTGCGCGCTTGGGAACTTCCGAATAACGGTCACTCCTGCGTCTTTATACGAAATACAACGCCACTGATAATGTGATCGCGCCAACCCAGTTCTGCTGCTTTCTCTCACTGCGATATGCGTTCTGTGGAGCTGGTTTCGCCGAAGGAAGTTAGGTTGTACGGTGCCTATGTCGTAACGTAAAACCCCGAACGAAAGTTTGGTTAACCTCCCTGCCTTTCCTTATCGTTTCTCCTTCACTCTCTCCCCAAATATTACGATTGTTATTATTAGTATGCGGTAGCCTACTTTCTGGAAGCATACTCCGGAGTTGAACACGCGCCCCTGTGTTCGGTGGCTAAACGCATGTAGAGTGTGTGCAGATGTCTTTATTCAGAACACACACGAGCTGCACGCGCGTACGTTCCTGTTGGCAGAATCCCGACTTCGATTTAACTTCGCGTCTCTGTCATCTTCAGCGCCTCGAAATGAAAGTAACAAAACATATTCAAGGCGATTACGTTCGCGTTTCGTTGGCGCGAAATTTTATTGCACGCCAGGGGACGTTGACGGCGAGACGTCGACCTCGCGCCAGACAGCGGTATAATTTCCTGTCTCGGTATGCGTGGCCTGCCTATACTCTCTTGAAGGAAAAAAAAAAAAAAAAACACCGGCTGCGCACCGCTGCTGACCGGCGTGCCACGAATATCGAGCACGATGTAATTTAAGAACGCGAATTGCGCCGCGCCAATCTACCTATACGGCGTGTTTGTATATATAACCACGGCCGCCTGCATCGGGCAGTCGAGATATAACGGAGCTTTCTCCTGCGCACGAATGCAGGGCAGGCGCTTTGCGGAAAGTTCTAAATGGGAACGAAAAGAATCGCGCGGCTTTTATTACAGATGCGTGTAACACTTGAGTGCGAAAGGCTGGCGCACGCTGGGTCATGCACTTAGTTATACAAGTCGGGCAAGCACGCTTCTTGCGAGACGTCAAGAGCCACAGAGTGGGAAGCGCGCATTTAGTGACCTCGACTTTCCCGATCCGATTATTTCGTTCCTATCAAAAGCAGCGTATGGACGGAAGCGAAGCAAACTGCACCTTACAATTCATTCACGAAATACGGTAAATTCAGCACGACTTGACATATTTTTTTTTATTTAAATGCATGTGCAAGCTTGCAAATCAGGCCCGTAAGTGTGTAGCACCGCAACCCTCCCCTCCCCCGCGACATTTGGATGGAGCTAGGCGTTATTGCAAACATGAATAATGATAAGAAGGGTCTGTATAAGTTAGTTCAGCAACTTCCCCCTCACAGGGGCGTATCCAGAAATTTTTTCGAGGGGGGAGGCGGGGGTTCAATCATATATACTTTATGAATGTTCGTGCGTGCGTTTGTATAGTCGCTTGCATATGTACTCAAGAAAAATTGAAAAAAAAAACTACAGGAGGGGTGGGGGGTGGAACCCCAGCCCCTGCCCTATTGGCTCCGCCCCTGCCTCCTCCCTTCGAAAAAATTCCCTGGCTATGGGCCTGTTGCACATGTAATCACAGGTCCCTCTCGAACTTTATGGAGTTAACATGTAATTGCTCAGTTTCGTGGAATTTTTCTAGATGGCAAACTAAAGCAATAAATAAATAATATGGGGGCGATGAGCGATACACACTCAGTAAACGAAACACATTATTACTTCGATTTGTTAAATTGGCACTTTGTTCATTAAATGCTCTAATATTGGAAGTCTCCCTAGGGCACTCAACTGTTGGGGCTTCTTTTCTCCTCGATCCGATTCCTTCTCCGTTAGCGAACGAACGTTGGCTACAAGCACTTTGCGTTTTGAATCAATAGCTGTCTCGCCCTCATTGCCAGCAAATGATTGCCTGTACTGTACTGTAACTCGAGTTGTACCGTTCGCAGCACGGACAGCGGCCTGGACAACCCCTTTCGTCCCGATGGTGAACTGAGCCGGGAGGCGGACACCATCGTGAGCCTGATCAAGGAAGGCAAGCCCATTACGCCGGTCAAGGGTGAGCCGGACGGATTCTTCACCCAGCTGGACGGCTCCGTCACCCACTCGTCGTCGCCGCAGCTCCTGCAGCAGGCCAACGGCGAGTCCAAGATCTCGCCCGCCAAGGCGCCGGCGGCCGTGGCAGCCGACAGGCCCGGCACAAACGGGTCCGCCGCGCCGCCCGGCGTCAAGAAGGGCGTCGTCGAGGTACGTGCACTTCTCTCTCTCTTTAAGAGCTCCAGGTTGGAACGCCGGGGCGTCCGCAAAAAACGCTCCGCGACGTTGCTCATCAACCGCGCCGCACCGACCGAGACTGTGCGTCTGTATGTGCAGCCGCCTCGTAGACGTTTTACTCGGGCACGTTAGATCGCGATCAGGGCTGATTCGAATTTGATTGATATGTGGGATTTAACGTCCCAAAACCACCATATGATTATGAGAGACGCCGTACTGGGGGGCTCCGGAAATTTCGACCACCTGGGGTTCTTTAACGTGCACCCGAATCTGTGCACACGGGCCTACAACATTTCCGCCTCCATCGGAAATGCAGCCGCCGGGATTCGATCCCGCGAGCTGCGGCTCAGCAGCCGAGTGTACCTTAGCCACTAGACTACCGCGGCGGGGCCAGGGCTGATTCGAATTAGGATTCATACATACGAAGTGCCGCTGCATGACCCCTTTTAATCGCGATTAGACTAGACCGGAATGAGCGCATCGCGATCTGATTCAAAGATCGCGATTTGACTCATGTTTGCACCGGGCTCGACACGGAGAAGTTTGGACCGTGTATCATCGACCATTGTTGATCGCGATCAGGAAACCAGATTCTGTTTTGCCCTAATCGCGATCACAAGTGCCCGTGTGTCATGAGAAGTTTGCGGGGATAACGCGGGCGCAGGACGGGTTGCCCGGGGAAACGTGCGAGATGCATTTGGCCCTACAGTGGGCGCAGTTCAGTATGATGATAAGTATAATTATTATAACGTAGTTTTTCTATGGTAAACGCGAAACCGTGCGCGGCGGCCCTGTGGTCAGGGTGATCGGCTGCTGCCTCCAAATACGCGATTTCGATCCCGGTCGCGTCGCCACGGAGGCGAAATGCTATAGAGGCACTTCGCGATGTCAGTGATTATGATAACGTCGTCTGCTGCATCTTACCTTTGAATAAGGAGGTCAACGGCATAGTTGGATTCGGCAACGGGAAAAGAAAAGGGGAGTGGAAGGTCAAGTTTAGAAGAACTTATAAAATGTGCAAGGAAAAAGAAAGAGAAATTGAGTGCTTTCAAAGTGCATGTTAAAGAACCTTATAGGTGGTCGAAAACATCAGTAGCCCTCTATTACGCCTTCTTTGAGAGCCCGAGTTGCTTTGGGACGAACCCTTTAAAGTTAATAACTTCATATATATTTCGTGAAGGATAATGTTATATACTAACTGAAGATATCGCATGGCGAAATTCATTGACAACAGAATAGGCACACTCGACACAACGCAGCTCTGTGTTGAGTGTGTCTTTTTTTTTTTTTTGTATGTGTGTGTGTCTTTAGTCTGCGGTAGCATCAAGTAGAATGCAATACCAACGAGCCCACATTGCCAATTTATGTTGAGTATGTTTTGCTGGGCGTTTAACAAGTTTTCTGTGTCACGTGCACCCAATAGAGTCGCACCACACCGAGCAAGCTTAAAACTCGCTCTAGGGCATTCCTCACGCGAGGAAAACGCTACAGAACGAAAGAAGGAAAGCTTGTTTCGGACGCTTTCTAAATAAACGGTGCTCGAACCTGTTTTTGCGTGAACTAGATCTTATCGCCACTGATGACTTGGCGGGGGGAAACACGTGTAACGCTTCCGTCCTGCAACGAAAGCGGCATCTGCATTTGCCCGGTTGCATTCGAGAGCAGCACGAGACCGTTGTCCATACTCTGCTTATCGAGGGAGCACTGCTTCAGCTTCCCCGATGCCTCCGGAGCAGGCATCAACGAGTGCCTTCTTATCCAGTTTTGTTTACGGCGCGCGCATTTCTGCGTTCCTGAGATAAGTCTCATATCGCACTCGCGCAAGTATGAGCTTGTAACCAGCAAGCTCTTTCAGAATTTACAAACAACTGTTAAGATAAACGTCCTATAGAAGAGCGATTGCCGACAGTATCGTCTGTATAGCTGGGTCATCTTTTCTTCATTCCAGTGAGAGCGCAGCAGCTTCTGCCTTAGCGAGCCGGTATACCGCGCTCTCGACCTGCTTTAGTTTAAGCATTTCCCATGTACAGTTCCTAGTTGAACTCCATGTAACCATGTTAGTAACCAACTTTTACTGACTCATGCATTATGATGCTGATCACTTGTGTATATTGCTGTTTTATTTCCAGTCTACGGTAGTTGTTTTTTTTTCTGCTTGCTTGATTCCTTTCTTAGAGATGTTTTTTTCTCCCTTTCTTCGTCTTTTCTTCTTTTTTTTCGGCGTTTGTGTGATTGAGAGTCCGTCATATATTGCTTGCCCCCGCCTTATGTAATGACTCCGGGCCCTTAAGGCTTCAATAATTGAATTGAAATGAAATGAAATGAAAAGCTCGACCGCGCGTGCACGTTTCTTGAGTCGCCTCTCGACTACGTCAGGTTACAAGGCTGGGGTTTGTCTATTGTTTATGCACCTCAGCTTGCAATCGGCTGCCGCACTAGCTCGCTCATTTCTATCTTAGTGGGATAGTTATAACTTGGAGCTCTAATTGTTGAACGGAAAACCCAGGAGTCGCGTCGTTGAGTGCACCGCGGCCATCCAGTGACGCCCCCGAAGTCGCCTGTACGCGCGTGTCACAAAACGCCACAAAACGCGCGTTGATTGATTGACTGATTGATTTGTGGGGTTTAACGTCCCAAAACCACCGTATGATTATGAGAGACGCCGTAGTGGGGGGCTCGCTCCGGAAATTCAGACCACCTGGGGTTCTTTAACGTGCAGCCATATCTGAGCACACGGGCCTACAACATTTCCGCCACGGGCCTACAAATGCACCCGCCGCAGCCGGGATTCGATCCCGACGCGACCTGCGGGTCGGCAGCCGAGCACCTCAGCCACTCGACCACCGCGGCGGGGCTGGAAATGAGCGCTGCAATCATTCTGAAGTACAGGGCGTGAAAGCATAAGAGATCGCTAACCGGAAGCAGCTCACCTTGTAATCTTTCTTTACATTGCTGATAGCGTAAGTACACGCCAAAATTTGATAAATGTGCAGTTTTTTACACGCACGAAACGCGCCTGATGATTGAGGCATGCAGCATGTCATAACAGCGGTAGCGTGCGCGTGAGCCAACCGTCTATATATTAACTGGCATAAAGACGAATCAAATGCCTTTACAGTTATCTTTCACGTAGAACTTCCACGCGGCGTGCAGGATTGATAGGTTCGCATATCGCATGGGCATGCACAGATAAGAGTTAGTGCTTCCTTTTCCGACGTTGTGCGCACCTTGTGTTGTTAGTCAGCGCTCACCGTGTCCTGACTTGGAGTCGCTTGTAGTAACGGTGGACGGGGGTTCTGACTGACTTTTTGTTTTTAGTAGCTCAAGAACCCCGTCATAGTGTAAATACTGTTAATAGAGAGTTTTAGTACTGCGTACGTGGCGGCGTTGCGTACGTAAGAACGCCACGTTCTGCGTAGTGCGCATGCGCAGACCGCAACGCGCACGTATCGCATTACGTGCGTACGTATGAGGTGATCGCGCCGCTCTCGAACAAGTTCGCGACAGCGCGAGACTTCGTTTTGCAAAATGGCGGCATCGAAGGCAAGCACCGACCGGCTCTGTGGCTTAAATAATGGCCATAATCTGGCTATAACACTTGGATTTGCTCACGTTGGCTGTCAACTACACGTGCTTCTATTTTGATCTACCAGATGGCGCAACACGCTTCACGCTCGTTACGTACGCGGGTACTACGGCGTACTAAAAGCCGATTAGTGGCAAACGACGTCACGTAACGCAAGGCGCTTGCGTGATGCGTACGTAGCACCATTCCGCAGTACTAAAATTCTCTAATGTGTGCTCACAGTGGTTCCACTCAATTGTTCTAATTGGTGATAGTAGGTGGACGACAAGCACTGAAGACAGCTAGGGATGGGAGAGGGGGTGCTGACACGCTAGGGGGCAGCGATCGCCCCTACCGCCCCCCTTTCCCATCTGGATCCGCCGCTGCACATCATCCATTTTGCTTTCGCACACGTTTTCCTTGTCTTGTTTTCTTGGATGCTGTTTTTTAGTTAATTTTTCAGTTACGAGTACAACAGCTCTGGTCCCGTGTGTTTGTGCCTTCTTATGGTCTATACGTCTTTTGGCGCTGCTTCGAGAATGCGTTTGTACCAACTTGACCAATTTTTCTGTCCCGTTTTTGTCTCGCCTCTCCGCAGGTGCAGCATGGCATCGTAGTGCCTCCCTCGGACTCCTCCACCGTGGAGCAGGTGATGATCAAGAAGAAGCCAAAGTGCAAGTGTTGCGTCATCCAGTAGGGCGCCGTCAAGTTGTGGACATTGTGGACTGCTGCTGCTTCGCTCTGTGCCTCTACATGGGTGTCTCTCTCTCCCCACTATCCCTGTCGCGCTCTCTTTGGCTTCCTCGAGCTTTTTCTCGTTTCTTTTTTTAATTTATTCATCACGTAGCTGAAGCTGTTGAGCAGCCGATGGACTAGGGCGGTCCTTCTGAGGGCCGCGCCGACCTAGCGGGAGGTGATGATGTCGTCGTCGTCAAAGTGAAGAAATGCGTCGTATTTTTGCGATCCGAGCGTGCCTTTGACCACCGCCACCTTGCTCCAATGTTTGTGCGACGAGGAGCTAAAGCTATCCCAGTGAATTTCCAAAACCAACGCTCTTTTTTCCCCTTTTCGTTCCCGAGTGTTCGATGCCGCGGTCGGTACGCGCACCTTGGTCAGGCGTATTTTTTGGTTGCACGATCTGGCGAGCATGAGGGCCCGGCCGGACATGTCGCGAATGTCCGAGAACAAGCGAGGCACTTGTCTTTTACTCTTCCTCTCCTTTTAGCGAGGCAAGAGCGGTGAAACCGTTAGGTCTTGGACGGGAGTCCTGAGCCTGTCGTTCTTGACGCGGGTTCGTCTACTACACGTCGTTCTGTGGACAGTTCTGGACGTCCCGTAATCATGGCGTGCACGTGAGGTGGACTTTAAGGTAATCTCTCAGGCCTGTGTTTTGTTCCCATTTTTATCGCCGACGAACCTAGTACCGCGGGACTCGGTTGGCACCTTGAAACGTCGTTGTGTTAAGGTTGGAAAATCATGCGCACCGTGACGGTGAAATAACGGCGTCTTTTCACGGAACTCGACTCGTACACGATGCATCCATTCTCCTCAAGCACGGCGCCACGTCCTCTAGACTTTCGTGCAGGACGAAGAAGTCAGCAGCTACTTCGCGATGAACGGGCGTGCAGTACAGGGCGGGCACGTCTTTGTCAGCTTACACAAGTGCGAATCTTGCACGGTCGTTGCTAATTTCCCACGCGATGGGAAGAAAGTGGAAGCGGTGGAGCACGTTTTCCATCGTCCGAGCTACGCTCGCCGTTCAGTGGACCAGGCCTGGACGCGGGCTCTCAGTTATCGCATCTGGCCGGGGACGTGGAGGACACGGACCTTTCCAAAAGGATTGCGGCGCCGTAGTCAGGACACGGTGTAGAAGAGCGTAGCAGATCTCCCTGTCCCGACGCAGACGGTGAACTTTGTAAGTTCTGCGAGGCTTTTTTGTTTTGCACGGCCCGCGGTGGCTCAACACCTTGTTTTCGTCGGCGGAGAGGACGCAGGCCAGGCCACGACTGCCGTGTGATATATGTGGTTCTCCCGCCCGCCACTTTTCCTCCCCCCGCGAACTCTCTCGAGAGAGAGACAGCCGCGACGGCGTGCGTTTATCGAGCGCGTTCGTCGAAAGAGACACGCGCGCGACGTGTACGTATGTATTACCTTTTTTTTATTTTAGAGAGGGCCCCGTGTTGCCAACTAAAGTCGCTGGACACTGGAAAGTCGAGGGGAATCCCCTTCCGACGCGAAGGAACGTCCCAGTGTGTACCGCATCCGTTGCGGTGGGCGCCAGAGGCCTTGGAGGTATCAGAGGGCCTCTAAAACTACCCGGAAATCGAAAGGTAGTTCTGTTGTTCGCCGTTTCTCACGACGCCACAACGATCACGGGGCTGCCAGATTTTTTTCAAAACGGTGCCGTGATAGCCATGGTGGAGCTACAGTTGTATGATACAAAAGCACGTGGCCCCCCGCTTCTTTCGCCCTTTCCATTCGCTCATCTTTCCCGCTGGACGGGTGGTCCTCAGTGAATAAGGCAAGGCACGGCGCCGTGTCGCCTTATGGCTGACAGAAATTAGGTGCCTTTTTTATTTCTTTTTCTTCCTAACCACCGCCAAATCGGCGAGCGCTCGTACGTGCGAGCAGACAAACGGGCTCTGGATGACATGGCCAGGCACGAACGGTGACGTCACGGCCAACGCTGGGGATCACCCAAAGGCCCGGACGGACAAGCGATTATTTCTTGGATGTTGTGGCTGCGCCCGCGGCTCGCTTGCGCTGCCGCGTTTAGCAATGCTAATCATGTCGGCACTCTGAACATGACGCGCACGTTTACTCGAAATTGTCAAAAATTTATCGCAGGTATAGCTTTTGGGGCCCTTTAGGCGCCGGATGACCAGCATACTTTGCCGCAGCACAGCATACTTTGCCGGAGCTTTCGTTGAACCTTTCCTTCAGAAGCGGAGTACTCCTTTCTCACCCTGAAGAGGTGTACAGAGCTGAGCTTGCCAGCGCGGCAGCTACTGTTGTTAAATCTCGCTCTAAGGTGACACCGGCACCCTGAAAATGAGGCAGGCGCGCGTGGCGGAGATGTCGGGGCAGCTTTTTTTGTTGTTTGCATGAGCAGGCGCTGTCGTCGGTATCGAAGACCCTCTCGCAGCTCGTCGACCTGTTAGGCCTAGCGAATCGCACTCCCGCCTAGCCTCGACCGCAGTCCCCCGAACTGCCGGCATTGCCTGGCGGAAACCACGCGCTATACTTTCCAGTGCCTAGCGACTTTACTGCCAACTGGCCCTTCCTCGCGCAAATCGCTGTTTTCAGCGCGTATATATACGACGTGAAGAAGACACACACAGTTAATATATTTTGTCCTGCTTTGCGTGTTACCGTAGGTGTAAATAAAGGACAGCTGCACACATTACGTCGGGCACCATCCCCCCCTCCTACTCACTAGCCCCAGTGTTTCTTATTTTTTTCTATTTTTCAGACTACTCCATCTCGAGTCCCTCGTGCGTATCGCACGCGGAACACAAGAAGTGAACGGCTACATCAGAGGACAGACGCGCGCCGAGACGCGATAAAGGTCTGACCACACGAACGCGTTGCAGCGCGTACCCGGCGCCGCACCTTTCTCCCTATGGAGAAGAGGGCACGCGGGTTCGCGTAGCCGCGCCACCCTCTCCCTGTAAAGGGAGAGGAGGGTGGCGCGGCGCCGCATCGACACGCCTCACGTTGACGCGCTGCAATGCGTATGTACGTGTTTCAGTAGGCGAACCTCTACAAAACCGGTTTCGTGTGCGTTCGCGTGTTCTATGCGCATGTCTCTTAAAAGGAAAACGATGCGACATTCACTGACTAACGAAGGGCTTCACAGCATTATTCCATCGCAGCATGCGTTGCCTATAGAGTGGCTGGAATCGGTGCATACTAGTAAACCAAAAAAGAGAGATATGTTTGTATTGTTGCTTGACCACGTGAATGCAATCGACCTGCGTCTCATCTGGTGTCCACGATAGGCAGCGCAGCGAAATGCTGCACGCCTGTTGTCGCGGCGGTCGTTTCCAATGCCGCGCCCGTGCGCTTCGTGCGGCGCGTTTTGTTCGCAAATGTAGCCGTGGCTGTAACATTTTACGGGCTCCGCGGCCATCGGTGTAGCATACGCGGTGGCAGAGTGTACAAAAGCTTCCCTCTCCTTCCACCCTTCCTCCTGTAGGTTCCATTATTGCAAATGTCTTACAACGTCTTTGATGCCCTCCTTTATTTGTGTCCTTTTTGTTCTATCTCCCCGTTGGCTGTTTTTAGTGGCACCTTCGAAAAACGGTTGTTTTCGTCGAGATGGCCCGTCGTAGGATGCCGCACATGGGCGCGCCTCTGACGTATACACGGCTATACGCAGTCACATCAGTCCCAGTTTGTGAGAGTGTGTGTACAAACGATTTTAATTTCAAGCTCTCGGCGTGTTTCCTTCGCCGTTTGCTCGCAGAGATATAGATTTTTATTTTCGAGTTACACCGAGGCCGAGCAATTTTAACGCCGCAGATTTATTTCTTCAACCTATTTAACGACGCCTGGCATTGGAGCCAATCGAGAAACGAGTTGGACGTACGGAGCTGAGCGCCCGCTGGGCCCTAAGGGCCTGACCACATGTGCGCGTTGTAGCGCGACGGCGCGTGGATGGTAGACTCGGAGCCGCGCCCTCTCCTTGTAAAGAGAGAGAGCTCGCAGCTTCGTGTAGCTGCTCACCCTCCCCTTTCATGGAGAGAGGGCGTGGCGCCGTGTCTACCAGATACATGCTGGCGCACTACGAAGCGTACGTACGGCCAAGCTTTTTGTTTTGCGGAACTCCGCCAACATGCTTGTGCTTTCAAAGCCAAGACAGTATGAAAGAACACAGTGAGTTTTTTTTTTTTTTCTGTGGCAACAGGTGAAGTACCTTTCAGCAGAGGCACTTGTCGCACTTTTAGGCATATATGGTGCTCCCATTTGAGGAAGACATTCTTGTTGAGCGGCATAAATTGAGGAACGCGCCATCAGAAGACCAGAAGTTCTGTTGTGGATACAGCGACTCTAATTGGTCCCAGTACAACCTCTCGTCGTAACAATTTTAAGCTTTCTTTTATTTCGAGGCAAGAAATCGTACTTCAAATTTTTTTCGGAGTTTGGAACATCTTTTGTTGTAATTATCGCGCTGGTGCCCGAAAAAAAGAAAAAGCTATTCCTACTCGCTAGCTGCGGAGTGTGGAGACACAAAAAACGAACGCCATTTCGATCACGGTATCCCCGTGGCCGATAAAAACTGCTGTCCCAAGTGTGAGCGATCACGTAGGCCCGATCGGTGGCACTACAGGACGATTTGCCGCGGCGTCTACTCGGTTAGAATACACGAACGCACTAGGGCAACTGTTTTATTTAAGTAGGCTTTCCTTAGTAAAATATCGCTCAAAACAATGGACGGCGATAAAAGTCTTGGTTTTGTTTGTTTCTGCGATGTTTTGTCAGACGGCGCATCTGGCTTGTGCGTTCGTCACTTTGGTCGGCGGCGTTTGCTCGAAGAATTGACTGCGTTGCGAATAGTCGCTTTGGGCCAGTCTGTGTAACCTTTAACGTTACACCTTGCGCCAGCACCGCCTCACCTAGAAATGCAGCTTGCCTCCAGACAGGCTGTAACCGAGGGCGCTCGCTTCATTGTGTCGCGTCAGCTGGCCGAACCCGTCGCACGCTTCTCGTGATACATGGACACCATGTGGCATCAAGTGGCACGCGTTTCAACCTGGCTACGCTTCCGCCACCACTTGTTCGAGTGAGAAATGACATTTAAACAACCTTATATATCCTTATCGGCTGCTTTCGCCAAAGGCAGCGTGCAGAGGTCCCATCAAGTGCGCCCATGAATTACGCAATGCTACCATTAGCATCGGTCATCACTCGCGACCGATATCAGGGGGTCGTGGCGGCCCGTCTTTAAGCTGAAATCTGCTCTAAGGCGAGCACTGCACCCAAGTCGGGCGTCTACACAACAAGAATAGTGATACACAACAAGAATAGTGATAGGGCCTGATTGCGTTTTTTTTTTCTTTTTACCGAAAAGTGCGCTCGACACTTTCCTATTGGGAGTGATATATGTCGTCCCGATAGCCGCACGCTGTTCGTGACGATATGACTGGCGATCATGGTTGTGTTGCAAAATTACTCCCCAAATACGTCTGGTCTTAAAGTGGTTGACAGCAGGCAACCGCCAGATGCGTTTGGCCACTTATTGAGCATCCGGCCTCCTCTATAGAGTGTGGTATACGACGCCCCCGAATGAAATTTAAGTTTAGGAAGAAGCATGCACTAGCAGCATCAACGTGAAACATACTGCACCTCGAGGTATGAAGTTCGATTCGGGTTGATGCGCTTATGATTGTACTCGCAGAAGTTCCAGCCCTTCACTGTTACAGAACTGTTGTTGGCGAATACAGCCGGGAGAGATGTGCCGCATGATTTAAGACAGTCCCATGTTCACGATCGTGTTCATTTCGTTTGCTCGTGTCTGTAACAGTCCGACGACAGCTCTGTGCCGTGTTTTACGCTTGTGTCTTTTGTGTTACCGCGACCCGCTTGAATACGGTGACGTGTTTGCTCCGTAGATGATCGTACCGAAGGTGATTTATTTTTATTATTTTTGTTATCCTGCCGTTGTGTCTGTGTGGTTGAGTGTGGCCGTGAGTGTCAGTCAAGAGGACCCAAGGCTTGCTGCGTAGTTTACGAGATGGACTCGTCACAATGTGAGAACACGCGTGTCCGGGTTTTTGTACGTGCAGACTTGTCGGTTTAAGACATGGTGTGACACAACGTAGTGTATTGTGACCTTGGTGATTTGCATGCACAGCGTATAGCAGACGACGGGAACTTGTAGAATGATTCTGCGTGTCGACGAGGGCTGTGCCCGTTTCACATGTCGACAATGCTTCTTCAGCCGCACATGGTTTGTTTTGTCGGAAGTTTGGACACGCAGCTTTCAGTCTGCTTTTTTTTAATGAAAAAAAAAAAGATGTGAACGTAATCTGGTGGCGTCTTTTACCGGTGCAGTGATCTCTCAGCGAAATAGTTGGATGCAGCCTTTGTCCAGAATAAGCGGAGCCGTGAGGGCGGGACTAGTGTCAACAGTGGCACGTCTATACATAGTTGCATGCTTTACCCATGGGCTCTGCAGATGAAGGCAAACGACACCTTTCCTAATTTTGTCTCGCCATTGGTTCCGGAGCTTCATCGAACATCCACCTATACGATAGCTCGTTTTTTTTTTTTTTTTTGGCAAACGCTGCGTGCATCTTTATCGCTATAGCTTTTCTTTTTTTTTCGGTTATCGAAGAGTTGTTGCAACCGGTATTCACCGCACACCATTCGAGTCAGTGTTATCGAAAATGAATTCAGTGGCATTCACCACTGGAGAGCCGTGACAATTGAATAGGCGAAAACGTCATGTTCGCTGAACAATCACCGGAAGAGATTGTTCTGAAAATTTTCCTCCCCGATCGGACAGTCCTTGAGACTCGCCACGTATCAACTACCGCGGCGATGGATTTGCGTTTGTTGTTGAACGCTTTTATTGCAATGACCGGCCCGCCGCTCTTATCTGTGAGGTCCTGCGGTAAAGCCTCATTGTAACGAAAACCGCGATATGACATTTCGTCTAAAAAAAATGCTCTGCTTGGCTGCAGCTGCATAGGAAACGTGTTCATAGCTCAAAACTTGGCCATCGCTGTGAACCACGGTGTTTAGAAGTATCTGTGAACTTTGCCGCTTCGACTGAGGCCTTACCGTATGACTAGAGTCGTCGTGTCGGTTCAGCCTTACTGTTCGTGCATGTTATCGTGAAGTTGGTGTGTGCTCGACTTTCCGCTTCGTTTTTGCATGGAGAAAAAAAAAAGGGTATAAGAAAGCGTCGCGTGAAAATTTCGAAGCCTAGCCATGAAAAATGAAACGGGAGCATGCTGGGAATCGGTGACCAGCGTATTGAACGAGAGGGAGAGGGGGGAGCTGCGTCCGGGGAACTTTGCTTGTGGACGCCGGGCGCTCTCCAATTTTTTGTTATTGTTCATGGCTCAACCCCCCCCCCCCCCCCAAAAAAAAAATGGAATAACACGGTAGTACCATGGGAAATTATAAATTGGCAGCAGCAAGCACAGGACCGGGTTAGCTGGCGGAACATGGGAGAGGCCTTTGTCCTGCAGTGGACGTAGTCAGGCTGATGATGATGATGACCATGGGAAATGTGACACGACCGCGAGCGGCTCCGGAAGAGGTAGGCTTGTGGACGCCATGGTTGTCTCCTATCTTTTTTTTTTTCCTCCATGCGCTTTTGTTTTTTAAACATGAGAGGCCGCATCGCGCTCCCCTTTCCACTCCCTCTGCCCTGCACTGGCTTCCGCACGGGCCGTCGTGAGACAGCGGGAGTGGACAGCGAGGCGTGGGCGCCGATTGAATCGTCTGAAGAGCGCTGCATGTTGCGCATGCGCAATTCTTGTGTGGCACTGCGGTTGTAGGACACTCCGTGCGTTCATCAGCACGCAGCGTATGCCGACGTGGCAGAGAAAGCGCAGTGTTGCGGCTCGACGATGGGCCAGCGATTGTACAAAAAAAAAGACGGGCCCATGTGTAGGCCGGTCTGAATAAATATGTGCACCTGCAGATCGAAGCGGCTGGTCGTGGTACTTTGTTAAATAGATGTGTAGTTAAGTAGAGTGTAGTTTCCTACAACGTTTAATTACCAGAGGGAACTCTGGCGATGGTGTCTAGCTGCTGCTACGCATGGCGCTTCAACCAGCGTGGTACACGTATTTGTGTAATTTTTCTCATCTCGACCAGCACACAATAAAGGACAAAAACACAAGAAAGTGCGCGAGACAAGCGCTCTCTTGCGTTTTGGTCCTTTTTTTGGGCGCTGATCGAGGTGTTCCAACTAGTCGAATATGCTATATACATTGTCTAAACTTCGTTCTTTTGGTTTCGTTGGGCTCCGCAAGTTGCGCAAATGTTCAGCAGTTCCACTTCACATGCCTTAACATTTTCGGTTTAACTATTCACATCGACTGACGAAGTTACAGCGATCCATTGTATTATATCTTCGTCTAAACAGGGGCGAGACCGGCGGGCAGCACACGGTGGCTAAGTGCAACACATGTGTATTCGGTCACACAACCAACTGTCTTTCAACCAGGAAGGAAAAGGGGCGGTTGCTTATATACATGATCGAGCCACTATCACGCCGAGCATTGACGTCACGAAGCCCAACAGTCCGAGTCACCGCTGATAGCGAAGCGCGTCTGCGTCAGCCCCCCTATGCACAAACACGATAACACAACGCATTGTTTTATCGTGCGCTTGCACGTGCCTGCAGTACTGATAAGAAAAGGATGTCACACTTTGCCCCACATCCAACGCAATCATGACTGAAACAACCGCTGGTCTTCAAAGCTCAGCGATAAGATGCTGCTGTATAATCTCCCCTTCTTTCCAGCGTCGTCGAGCAAAAGTGTCAAGTACGCAGTTGTTTGTGTAACAAGCTCTCGGGAAATATAGATTAGCTTCATATGGAAGACTTGATTCTGCTTTTTTTTTTTTTTTTGAAAGTTCAGGTTCGGAACGTCCGACCGTAGACGTTGTGTCTCGTTAAACACTGAGGCCGCAGACGTTTTACGCGACTATTTGCGTGCTCTGGCCTGTCACACACACGCAATTCGTGTGGCCAGGGGATCAACACATATACGCGTGCACTGTGGTGTCTCCAAGAAGACACTACATGTACTTGATTATAAATCAAAGCTCGGAAATTAGTATCGTTTGTGAAACATCTGTGGCGTAAGCGGGAACACTAGTGCTCTTGACAATGCATTTTGTTTTATCGAACCGTTCAAGTTAGATTTCCCACTTGACTATCTAATGTACGAGTATTCGCATATTGTTGAGCACCAGTGAAACTGCATGAACAAGATGCACCTTTTGTGCGCTTTCATTCTGTCAAAGCTCGAGATGAAACGTCAGGTGCCCTTCCGCGCCGTTGCTTTTCAATAATCAAGCCTCAGATGCGCACCACCAGAGTTTAATTTCGGCAAGCTGCGCATGCGCCAACGAGCATCGCCGCCAAGCCACGCCCACAGACGGAGTCAGTCCGCGCCGCCGCTGCGTTGAGTTTGCCCAACGTATACCGCGAGCCGAACACAAGCGACGCAAGCAGGGGTGCCACAGGGTCAGTTTCTGGCGCTGGAGTTCGGCCATTGTCGCACGGTCAGTGACTCTACTCTGTCTACGCCATGGAAGGGCCAGTCTGCGCCTTAAGATCAATCAGCTTCTTGGTGTAAGCTTCCCCTCTTTTAAGCATAATTTCCGTCCGACGCAAGCCACACACAGGCGCCGCAGTGGCACAGCGGTCGCGAATGAATCCGGCTGCGTCGAAGACCGCATTTCAATGGTGGCGACATGTTGAAGGCGCACTTGCTGTGCGATGTGACTGCAGTTTTAAAAGTTATCAGCGATTCCCGGAGCTCTCCACAACGGCGTGCATGGTAAATTATTAACGCGATAGCGTCAGAGCGCGCTCGTTTCGCAGAAATTTCGGCGTCGTTGGTTGTGAGCGATAGCTCCAGAAATATGCGCATATAATAAAAAAGAGTAAACGTCGTTGTGAGTGAAAGTCGAACCCAGGCGGTTTGCGTGACAAGCAGGTGTGATCCCCGTCGTTGCTTGAGACTGCCTCCAAAAACACACTTTGAACTTTTATTGATTCCAACATACCATCATTTGGGATGCTGAGGGCCGGGGTCAAAATCTTCCCGGTCTTAACTAGGACCACGACCTCGTACAAAGTGGCAGGGATAGACGAGTGTACAAAAATAAATCAGACAACAACTATGTCGCTCAAATGAGAGTGTACAAATGAAAAAAGAAATACAATGGCATTACATAGGTAGGACAAAAACGCATCTTTAGCAATATTTTTACAGTGTTAGTTGATTCTGATGGAACGGCAATGGAAAGCGCAGCATCTGCTTGCCGTAGTTCGTGCGCGTGTGTGGAAGAAACCACGTGTGAACATGACGAGTGTTATAAAAAAGGGTCCGCCGGTTTATACGAGCAAGTGTGCCCAAAGAGTTATCACTTTTCAGTCCGGCGTAATAGCGTTTCATAAGACTTGTTTGATAGTAATCTGGTGGGGTTAATAAGTTCATTTTTTCAAAAAGCGGTGACGTGTGACTTCCATACGGAACATCTGCAATGGCGCGAACTGCCCTTTTCTGTATGACATGTAATTTGTGAATGTTCGTTAATGTTGTTGTGCCCCAAACCAGATGGCAATAATTTATGCGTGATAAGAACAACGATTTGTAGATGAGAAGTTTAACTTTTTTAGGAAGCTGGAAACGCACCCTAGACAAGATTGCAGTTATTCTGGATGAACTTGAAGACAGCTTTTCTATGGGGGAATTCTATGACATATGTTCATCAAAGATTACGCCTAGACATTTAACACTTGGTACTATCTGAAGTTCCGAGGTGCCGAGCATTAACGGGGCATGCAAAGGTGGTGGTTTATTTCTAGGCCTAAAGTCAACAGCTCTCGTTTTTGAAGAGTTCAATTTTAAAGAATTATTGCATGTCCAGGACGCTAGCTTTAATAATACCTGGTTTGCGTCATTGATTAAATCTTTATAGTGTTGAGCAGTGAGAAGTAAGGTTGTGTCATCTGTGTATATAACATACTTTACAGATGCGTCAATGTTTACGATATCATTAATATATACGCAGAATAAAAGGGGTCCCAGGATACTGCCTTGGGGGACACCTGCTGATATTGCTTGTAAATTGGAGGTGTGATCGTTGATTCTCCCACTACATGACACTCTATGAATGTCATGTAGTGGGAGAATCGCGTGGAGGATATTGCGTGTAGGGATAGTGAAATTGCGCCAGCCGGGTCATAACAAGGGAACTGCACAAAGGAAGGGTGTTTACGAAGCGCCCATGCCACCTACAAAGACAGCAGCTGCTTAGGTTCGCGTGTTGCCCCTCGCTGATACTCGAAAGGAACAACTGAGGCGTTGAGGACCCTTAACAACTGCAGTTGCAGTATCATTTACATATATGCACTCTAGGATAGTTAGAAACGGCCAGTTTCACGCGCACAGCCCCGCCGCGGTGGTCTAGTGGCTAAGGTGCTCGGCTGCTGACCCGCAGGTCGCGGGTTCGAATCCCGGCTGCGGCGGCTGCATTTCCGATGGAGGCGGAAATGTTGTAGGCCCGTGTGCTCAGATTTGGGTGCACGTTAAAGAACCCCAGGTGGTCTAAATTTCCGGAGCCCTCCACTACGGCGTCTCTCATAATCATATGGTGGTTTTGGGACGTTAAACCCCACAAATCAATCAATCAATCAATCAATCAGTTTCACGCGCACAGGTGTTCGCTTCCTGGTCCACCGAGAAACGATGCAAGGCTATCGATTGACAAGGCGATGCGCACAGCGCTTGATCGCGTTAAGGCGAAACCCAAGCGCCCTATACCAGTCCGTGTTGGTCAGAGAGTGCTGCTGCCTTGACAGATGAAAATTAAAGCTGTCCACGTTGAATTGCCGGCTCCAACGACAGCACTTGTTCAGTGGCTTTTCATCGAAGGGCAGAGGTGATACGCTGTGGAGAACAGCTAAGCCTGGAAACGGTAAATACTATACCACAAATGTAAACATTTTTTTTTATTTCGAAAGCCTGCCTTTAGCAATAGTAATTCACGATATATATACAAAGCACACATACAAATTTGCGTCGTATATAAAGTTTGATAGTGAGCTGCGGTAAGGTCCACGGATTTAGCGGCCGAGGCCGGTCAGGCCCGGAGGTGACGAAGACTGCAAGGAAGCGTGGGCCAACGATGCGTTGTATGCTACAATTACGGTCAATGACGATACGCCAACTCTTCGTGTTTGTAGTTTCAGGCGACGTAAAAGCACCGAAGTAGTTCTTGTGCATTTCCGGACACTCCTGAATATGAGGACAGCAAAGCAGTGATTATGATTTCGAAAACGCACATAATACTGGAAGGTTGCGTTCACGACGCTGTATTAGGATAGGAACAGGTCCGCAGCCGGGAAGGGGGGAGGGGGGGCAAGTGCGCTTCGCTTTTTCACAACGAAAAAAATTCTTGGCTACGGACCTTAGGACAGGGACTGTTTGAACGATGTGTGCGTGCATGTGTGTGCGTGCGTGCTCACGGCACCGTCGTGCTTTGTTGGCCATTTGGGAGTACAGTTGTAAACCAGTCTGTCTTGTCATTTATCGCGAATCGCGCTCATATTAACCTGGATTATCATAATAAATCTGATCTCTTCTCAAATGTTTTTTTTTTTTTTGTCTTGCGATGAGCTAAGTATAAGCTGGGCTTCTGTTAGCGGAAGGACTGCGGCTGCTGCTTTGTACAGCTTTACATTGGGGATTTCGAAGCCTCTTGCCTCGTGTAATGATGAAATAAATAAACAAACGAAAAGACGCTGCACTCTGAATACAGCGAAGCCAAAGAACACTGAACGGAAATGTGGAGTTTTCGAAAAAAACAAAAAAATAACAGAAACGACTTCGGTTATCATCGTGAGACGCGTGCGTGCTTCTTAAGTAGGGCGAGTAATGGCCACTCGAGGCCATTTTCGTTCAC